CCATCGCCTGCTGATTTATGCATTCAACGGAGTTTTCAAACGAAAGAAAAAAATCATGATTTTTAATTTTCAAAAAAATTTGAATTGAGCACAAAATAATTGGACTAATAAAAATAATGGGACTAATGTGAGACACTGAAAATAGCACGACTAATATGAGACCCTCGAAATAATAGAACTAATGTAAAAGGCGTTCAAGATAATGGGGTCAAATGTGAGGCACTGAAAACAAGGGGACTAATGTGAGGCACACGAAATAATAGAAGTAATACAAGACAATCATGAACTAATGTGAGACATTAAAAGTAACAGGACTAATATAAAGACTTTCAAAATAAAAAACTAATGTAAAAGGCATTCAAAATAATGGAGTCAAATGTGAGACACCGCATTTCAAACGATGGGACTAATAGGAGAAGCTCAAAATAATGGAACAAATATGAGACACAGGGAAAACTGGAACTAATGTGAGATATTGATAATACTAAAAAAAAAACTCAACTACTGAAAAACTGCTAATACTCACAACTGCAAAACTCATCTGCTGAGTAAACTCAACTACAACTACTAAACTACTGAAAAACTCAAAATAGCTGCATCAATATGAGATACTTAAAATAATGGGTCTAATGTGAGACACATTATGAAGAAAATGCGAAAATTTAATAGAAAATAAAGCATAATGTTTTTTTTTTTTTTTTTTTTTTTTTTTTTTATCCAGCTGTCGGTTAAGCAGATATATTTATATTAATAAAATTTTAAATGTATAATATTTTACATTTCGTATAATGATCATTTTATTTATACCATATGCATATAATTTTTGTATATAAGTTGTGTGCATATACATTTATTCACCAAATATGTTTGTATATTGCACGTATTAATATTTGGTAATTCTTAATGGATTTTTTCGCAATGGATTTTTCTTTTCCTTTCATTTTTATAAATTGTGCATGTATTTCTCTTCTTAATCACCGGGATAGGATAGAATATATGTTTAACTTATCTATTTCCTGTTGTTCAATAAAGTTTGCTTATTTGTTGTTAAAGAAAGGAAAACGCATGCAACTTAAAAAGACTGTTAAACGATTAAATGTTTCTCAGGAGAGCTATCATTTTCATCCAATAATAGTAAATATTAATCTATCATGTAATTGAAAATTATTTTCGTTGTCGGTCAAAAAATAAAATTTTTCAATAAACAGCTCAACTGAAGAAAGGAAAAAAAAACATTATTTTAATAACTTAGGTTATAATTTATATATTTTTAAAGCTTCTTGCTAATCCTGTTAATAACATATATTTTGTGTAATTCTATTGAAAATTATTAATTCGTATTTCCGTAAAGCTATTGGACTGCATTCGATTACTTTTTTCGAACTAATTCAATACTTCACCTGCCGAGTCAATCAATTCCATTTTCTATTTTAAAAATAATAAAAAAAACAGTTGAATGACTCCTAGCTGTTGATATTCAAATCAAATGTCTATAATAATAGACTCCAGGAAAATAAAAACATTTTTTTAGTTGTTAAACAATAAATAATTTATTTCAAAAGTATTAATTTACTTATTCAAATTATTATTTATGGAGAATTATCGATTTACCAAATAAGGGTTTTCAATAATTGCTTATAAATCTTTAGACAACCAGGGAAATCATTTTAAACTTGCTGTATTAGTAATTGCATGGAAGAAACATACGTCACACATGCAGATTAGTAATTACCAGTATAATTTTTACATTTATATTCAACTCTGCGTTTACTTATTTTTTTTTTTATTCTTTTGCCGTGCTTTTAGAACTACAAGATAAGTAATTTTGAAAATCCACTTAAAATGTGTTTATACCTTTAGAACTTGCAAAACACTTTCATCAAAACATTCCTAATTGCCATATCTCAAATTTTAGAAGAAAATTTTTAAAAACTTCTCACAAGATTTTTGATGCATTTGGAAGCTAAACGAATGACTAATGGTAACGAATGGTTTTCATCCACTGCGCAGTTTATGTACGCTACGTCGAACTACTACATTGATCCGTGCTGAGGCCTTCTTTCTTCTAGGAAGTGTTGGTTGAGGTCGCACACAAATTTATATATATAGTACCGCAAATTTTGCTGACTAGGTATTATCATATATGAATATATTGCATTAATTTATAATAGTCCCTTTAAAACGTTAATTTATGATAAGTTTAAAATATTTTTAAAAGTAATGAAGTTTTTTATTTTAATACAGTTAAAAAAATATTCATTATTTGAAAAAGTATCATTCGTATAGGATAATTATATTACATACGATACGATAAGTGTATTTATTACGATTCAGGGAACTTTCTTAACTTTCGTAAGACTTCTAACCATTTAGTTAAAAAAGCACGAGATCTGTTAAGTCAATTTCTGTTCTCCGTTCTATTTTTTTCACCAGTACTGTTTTTTCACTTTGTTAGCTAATTTATATATTTCATTTTTTTCGTTCACCATCATTTCATATACACATGATAATAACTTTTTAAAAAAATGCAGTTTTCTAACAAAAATTTGATCATTTTATAGACCTTTTTTCTTTTTGCTCTCTCTTTGGCTGTATTTTGTGCCTCGTACAAACTGACCACTCCCATAATAAAACAATAATTCGGCCGATGACGGTTAATCAGGTTGATTAATTTCCACATGTTTCAAGTTTTTTTTTTTCTGAACCAAACGATAAAATCTGCTTCTCAAAAGACTACCCCCTGAAATGGAAGATGGTACAGTCCAACCTGTGGGGAAATCATCTGCTTTGACCCCTAGACTTTCACTCCTCCTTCAAATCTACCAGAGATGTCCAGTGGCTATTGGATTGATTCACCAACATTTTCCACCTGCCCTCCAGCAAGGGGTCAGAAAATCTGGTTCAAGGTTTTCTCTTGTACAATGACAGATTTATGGCTCAGTGAAGATAACGATCTCTAAAAATTCTAAAAATCTACCTATTCAGAATCTCTTCACTGATGACTTCTCACAGAGACATAGATTTATGGAAGTGGGAAAGTAATTTTGGAGGATGAAAGTTGCTGTTCAGACAATTTAATTTTTAAATTAATTAGTAATTATTAATAAATTCATTAGTAATTATTAATAAATTCATTAGTAATTATTAATAAATTAATTAAAAATTTATAATAACTTATTATTTGAAACCAATATGTAGTTTGTATTAAAATGTGGAAACAGTTCTATGCCAAATGATAAAGTTTATAAATTATGATAAAATTTATAAATATATAATATTAATTAAAGATGATAAAGTTTATAAATCATTTATAAATAATTGTCCTTCCCTGATTTTGCATATTTTTATTTAGGAGAGACTTGGTATGTTTGATTTTATTATAATTTACTCTTTTTATTAGTGATTCCTCAAAAGTGTACTGTGGGCGAAATTGAAAAAAAAAAAAAAAAAAAAAAAAAAAAAAAAAAAAAAAAAAAAAAAAAAAAAACGAACCATTCGGAATAACTTTTGATCTAATAATCGGATCTTAGCATTCTAGGACTCAATCTTAATGGTTCGAAGGGGTGATCTCAAATATTCGAATTAATAAGTGCAGACGATAATTTAAACGATATCAGACACAAAAACGCGCTTTCTCTGAATAAACCTACCCTTTTTTCAACGGATTCGGATTTCTGACTCCCAAAATATAAGGGGTAGCCGCAATGTGATAAATATGGTCCCAATAGTTTTGTCAGGAGAGACGTCCAAGTTTGGACCCCTTTATGTTAATGTTATTTTTTGTGTATTTTTCCATATCTCAAGAATATCTTTATTTTTAAGAAACTTGCATTGCTTGACTTGATTACAAATTACTTTTTTTTATTAATGATTTCTCAAAAGTGTACAAATTGGGTCGAACCATGTTACTTGAGGATGATTTGAGTCATCACTGTGTGGGAAACTTGACCTACGGAAATTAAAAGTGTCTTTTAAGCCTATACAACAATAATGAAATAACTAAAGACATGTTAAAAGAAATAACTTTGACCAAAGAAATATAAAATATTTACCTACTGATGAAAATAATGACTGATACAGTTTGGTGAATTTAGTTTGAATCAGTAAACTGGATGATCAGAAAACAATTCGATTACTTTCTTTGGTTTGTTTCTTAGTTTTATTTTAAATATTACGGAAAATTTTCCGATTTACATTGTGTATTTTCTCGATTTCTAATTTGAGAAGGATATCTATCAAAATCCTTGATTTAGTAAGCCTATAGTATTTTATTTTAGGTAGGGGGGAAAAAAACACCAGATAATCAAAGCAGAAGAGCAGCGGAACATCTAAATGCCTTTACGATTATTATTTAAATCAAAATGCTAATAAAAAAGATATAGCACGCTTTTTGGAGAAGAAAAGGTAATATTTTAAATTAGCTATGCGTTGGATAAACTATGAAACGGACATACATTTATTTCTAAAATATTACATTACAACTTCCGAAAGCACTTTTCAAACCAAAATAAAACAACTTAGATTGTTAATAACGAAATATATTTCCCTCATTTTCAATGTTTATAACAGTTCTTTTAAATTTATCAACGAAATCTATAATTTGGCTTATTTTATGCATTTTCAGCTTATGTTTATACACCAAAAACAAATTCAAAATAAGGACAGTTTCGGCTCCAATACTGTGAATAATTCAACTGTCGGTTATAAACCTAATTTGTAGTATAGAACAAAGAAAAAACTCCATTCTTCTTAATAAATATTTTCAAAATAAAGCAGTCTTTTAAAGATTAATGTGTACGTTCACAATATTACTTTACGTTCACTTTATATACTTTAGTTATAAAGTGTCTGTTCCGTCGGAAGAATGTTGATCACTTTGCGTTCCATAACCGAAAAAAATTGGTAACCGCTGGTTTACCATACTTTAAAGAAATACATTACATACATTAAAGAACGACATACATTAAAGAAAGACATACATTAAAGAAATGCTATAATGCTTGGTAGGTAAGTAATGCTGTTTATTAAACTAAAATAAAGTCTTGTGTAATTTAAGAAAATACACTGCACAAAAAAAAGTGAAATGAAATATTTTTCGTTTTCTGAGAAAAATCAACATTTTATCTTTTCTTCTATTTACCAAGTGTTAGCAGTAGCATCCTTGTTTTCCAACTTCTCTAATTGGTTGTGGGGCATTGGGAAAAAGAAGCCGACCCCCAATCTCCAAAATTTACGATAGGGGGGAGTGTAAAACTGCCGCAATCTTTAGTAATCGGATCGTCTGCTTCCTGCCTCCCTGGATGGGCATCTTTGGGAAAGAAGGCACTGACCTTCGAAAAAGAATTCTTTTTAAGTGGTTTGTTTTGGTACTTTTTCAGTTTCATGTCTATTCTATAGATTGACTAGTTTCGCTGAAAGAAAAAAAAAAGAATTACAATTTTGAAGACGGACAAAATAAAATTTAATGGATAGTCAATATTTGTGTTTATTGACGTAGTGAAAATCGAATTTAAGAAATAATCAAATAAACCTTTTAAATCAAATAAATAAAATCAGAACTGTATTAAATTTTAAAAGAGAGCTCTAGCAAAATTGATAATATAATTTGAATGAGTGTTTTTATGCTTGTTTTTTCCCTAATTAATAAGTCTAATTAGGGGCGTGTCAAAAACCAATGTTCCTTTCAATCTTATTTTTTTAAACATATATTTCAAAATAAAAACAATTAATTACCTTTAAACTGAATTAGCTCAAGTGTCAAGACAAAAATGTGAAGAGTACGCGTTAAAAATAAACTTTACTAATCGCTCTGCCAAAACTTGTATTTTCAATTATTTATATCCCCGCAAATAAAGTGAAATAAGCAAAACAAAAATTCATTAAAACTTTTCCAATATCATCTCGCCGTATAAAAAAAATTTTTTTTTTTTTTTTTTCCTTTTTTGCTTTATTTACGAGTGATACTTTAGGTTCTTTTCCTGTTACTACAAAATACTTAGAATAATCAATAGCGTGGTGTGCAATAATTAAACATTATTCATGTATATTTAGAATACCAAAAAGCGATGTATGCTAAAATTAAAAGTTATTCCTATATATTTAGAATAACTAATAGCGAGGTACGCTATAATTAAAATTATATCATGTATATTTAGAATAACTAATAGTGAGTCAGTGCAAAAATTAATAACTAATTGTGAGATGTGCGATAATAAAAAGTTATTGATGTATATTTAGTGTAACTAATAGTGTGGTGTGCAATTATTAATAACTAGTATCAAGGTGTGCAATAATTAAAAGTAATTCATGTATATTTGAAATAACTAATGGCGAGGTGAGCAATAATTAAAAGTTATTCACGTATATTTAGAATAGATCACAACTTATGCCAAAAACAAACATCAATTTTATTGTAGTGAATAAACATTTTAAGCTGAAGTTAAAATACTTATTAAACAATCGCACGCAGTTTTTTTATTGAATAAATATGCAATATTAAAATATTATATTCTTTCAAAATTTATAAGTTGACAATCAATCATCGCATCGTGCCAATTTAAATGCCTGTTAGAGAATAAATTACACTCCATAAAAAAGAAATTAAATTTAAAAAAAAAACAAGTATTCTAGAATGGAAAGATTTAATTGTTACTAAAATGATACTTACAGTAATAAGAGTATAAAAAAGAGAAGAAGAAAAAGAAAAGAGTAGAATAAAGTAAAAAATAACAGTATACAGTAAAAAATAAAACAGTATAAAATAAAATGCATACTAAAGAATAAATTACACTCCCAAAAAAAGAAAATTGAAGTGAAAAGAAACAACGAGTATTCTAAGATGGAAAGATTTAATTGTTATTAAAATGACACTAATAGTAATAAGATTATTAAAAAAAAGAAGAAAAAAAGAAAAGAGTAGAATTAAATAATATAAATAACAGTAAATTGTAAATTAGCAAAAAAGGCTTTTTGTTGAAAAAATTAAAAATTGTGCATGAAATAAATAATAATGATAATAAAACTCAACATAGTTTTTGTACATTGCTTAAAATAAGATTATACAATAAGAAATTTCTTTTTAATCTGCTAATTGGAAGAGTAAATATTAAAAAATGCAATATAAATGTAATGTTATAGAAATTTGTTTCAATTTTCTCAATAATAATTTTTCTAATTTCAGAATCTGAATAAGATTTCATATTGACTTTTCTCTAAGGGAGATAAATGTCGATTTTTAAAATGGCATTGCATTGAAGCAATAGAGAATGTGGATAAAGATACGATGAAATGAAGGTAGTTGAAAAATATGTTCAGAATTAAGGTTTTTTGACGAATAAAAAATTAACAATGGTAAACAATAATAATTAAAAGTGATACTTCTATAAAAAATATAAGGTTCTACCGAGATTTGAACTCGGATCGCTGGATTCAAAGTCCAGAGTGCTAACCATTACACCATAGAACCCTTCTTCCCATGCCGGGAATCGAACCCGGGCCGCGTGGGTGAAAGCCACGAATCCTAACCACTAGACCACATGGGATTGGCTGCCTTGTTCATAAACTTTTTTCTTCGTACTTATTTACTTATTTCTTGAAAAAATATATCTTGTGATTTATTTTTATCATGTACATTTTAAATAGTGAGTTGGAGGGAAGGAAATTATTTCTTATCAATTAAGTCGAAAAAAATTTCGACGCACTTTAAATATTCGTTTCTCTGAGGTTAGTTCTCTGATTTTAATGATAAGATCGAGCAATGTTATCTTTGGAGAAAAAAAATTCTCTTACTGTTTATATAAGAACTATAAAAGTATATATCACTATTTATATAATATCGAAAGAAACTTCAATCCAAATGTTATTGCTTTGTTGAATTTTCAAATAACTTATTCAAATACTTATTTAAATATCATAGTAAAGATAAATCGAGATAAGATTTTTGATATGAGTTTGAAATAAATGTTAAAAGCTAAAATAATATAACTAAAAAATAAAGGAAAAATGTAATAATACTTAGAGCAGAATTTTTGTTTCACGTATATAAATAGGATTGTGTCTGTTAGAGGGTAAAAATCTTAAGAAAAGTTTCTCATCAAAAAAGGACCCAAAGAACCTGTGCGTAAAAAAAGCACTACTATCAAAATAGTAAAAAAAAATAAAGTAATAAAAAATACGCCAAAAAATGCCCCAAGAGAAAAAAAAATTCAGGAATGTAATGGAATTGGCAACAAAATCTTGTAATAAAAATTACTTAACTGCATTTTTATTACAACAAATAACTTTATTTAACATTAACTTTTCCTTAAAAAAGATTTTTTTTTACTTTAAAAACTTAAGAATTTAATACTATGCCAGTATATTCAACAATAAAAATCAGTTTTTAAATAATGAAGGGTAAAAAACACTCATTAGTGTATTTACAATTTATCATTTTTCAAAGCTAATCCAACACTGATAATAAAAAAAACCCTAAAAAGAATAAAACTGATATTTTGATGTCATTTCAAATTCCAAATTATATTTCGGTCTGAAAAAAAAGTCAGCTAAGATACACCATTTACAATCTTTATTAGCCACAATAAACACGCAATATTTTTTTTTATTATATTAAATTATTTAGTTTTTAATTTAATTACATAATACAATTGTTGTTTTTCTAATTATTTTGCAAAGGTTTAATAAATAAAATTTTATGCATCAATGCTAATAAAAAAAAGTAAAGAATAACATTGTAAAAGCGTATGAAGTTGTACACTGATTAATTAATTCCATAGTGAAAACAACTTTTTAATAGCAACAAAAACATTCATTACTGTATTTACAACGCATTATTTCCCAAGGCTAATCCAACGCTTAACTCTCAACACTGAATATTAAATAAGAGAATGAAAACTGATATTTTGAAGCAATTTCAAATCCCTATCATCATTTTCAAAAAATACAATCATTTTGAATCTCTATATTAGCCGCAAATAAATGTGGGTAATCCGTTTGACCGCCCTTGACAGCGGCTGTTATAACATGTCTGAAAACAAAAAAGGTAAAAAACAGGAAATTAAACGCATAATAAAACGAAGTTAAGGGGATGGAGAAGCGGTTTTATTGAAGGTCGAATTTTAAGTAAAAATCAGATTAAAAACTTACATCTAGTTATTATAGATTACGTCAGGGTGGCTCAGCACCTTCAGTTTCTGGACGAAGTCCAACGGCGCTATTAACCATTGCCAAAGCGAAGGTCGTTTATTTAAAATGACTATTTTAATGAACTTTACCTCTTTCATTATGTAAATACAGCCCTTTAAATTAAGCGAGAAAACTAGAAATTTACGCAAGACTTGCGGCCATCCGTTCGAATCTTTAGTTTTCATTTTTTTAACACAGGATAAACTTTGTAAGCTTATAACATGTTTACACGCAACCAAGATTTTTAAATTTGTATGTATGATAAATTTATTTATACTATCATCCGAAATATCGTTAATTATCAATAATGTGATGGTTAATTATTGTAAATAATAGTATGAATCTCATTTAAATTAAACAAGGTAATTTGAAATTGAGTCAAGATTTACGAGACATATGTGCTTACAGCACAACCACGAACTTTGAATTTATTGTTATTTAACAAATTTAAAATTAATTATTAACGATATCGTTATTAATAATCTGTTCATTAATTTATATAAAATAATAGTATGAATCTCATTTCAATCAAGCTAAATAATTCGAAATTCACACAAGATCACGAGATGTATGTGTTTACAGCACAACGGCGGCGAACTTAACATTTATAGTTATGAATATGCTATTACTTATTAACAATATGATTATTAATAATGTGATCATTAATTATCAAAAATAATAGTATGAATCTCATTTAAATTAAGCGAAATAATTCGGAATTCACACAAGATTACGAGATACACAAATTACATTTTGCAAGTTACAGCAAAACGGCGGCGAACTCAAAATTTACAGTTACGAATAAGCTATTAATTATTAACAATATGATTATTAGTAATGTGATCTCTAATTATCAAAAATAATAGTATGAATCTCATCTAAATTAAGCAAAATAATTCGAAATTCACTCAAGACTTACGAGATATATGTGTTTACAGCACGACGGCTAAGAACTTAATATTTATAGTTATGAATATGCTATTAATTATTTACGATATGATTATTAGTAATGTGATCATTAATTATCAAAATTAATAGTTTGAAACTCATTTGAATTAAACGAGATAACTCAAAATTTACGAGCAATATTACAACTCAACCACGAATTTAAAGTGGTCCAATGAAATCCAATGCTCTTGCGTAATATGACTGTTTCCTCTTCAATGTTCTCCTTATTTATCGAAGTATGTCGCCATGTCTAGAATTCCAGTAAGACTACGAAACTATA